AGGTTAGTCCCAAGGCAAAACCAAAGAGGGTAAGTATCAGGGATAGAACCTGATTTCTCATCAGGAAGAGGACCAGACACCCGATTTCTTATTAGTGAGTCTAGATGATGATTAAAAAAAAGGAAAAACAAAAATAACTAAGACCTTCCATGAAGTCTCAAAGGCCAGTTTCATCCTGTTTCTAAGGACATTTCAGTAAGCAGTCAAGAATCAAACCACTCCTCTAGAGCAGGCTGGTATAGCTGGCCACATTATTTATGATCAGGACTCAGAATCATTTCAGAGCTCCTACCCTGGGGTCTGGCACCTTAATGTGGAGAACCCCAGAGCCAGAAGAGAAGACAAAGAACCACGCAGTCTGTCCTGTCTCCCCATTAAACGTTATTTCTAATGACTGTCCTGGGTAAGTGTCTATTCTGCGGCTAAGTGTGCATATGAAGGGCTGAGTTATCTGTTTCTTTCTCATGCTTTTAACTCATTTTTTCCCACACCTCTGATTGAGCTAAGGACTGAAAAAAAGACAGGCAACAGAAAAATAAACAATGAGGGACTTAAAAAAATGCTTTGGCAACAAGGAGCTCAACCACCTTTCTTGTTTAGCACCCCATATACCAGTCAAGTCCTTTCCTGTATAAATAGGTCACCCTCCAAAACCCTTATTTACAAAAATGTCTTTTGTTCACAAAAAGTTCATGCATTTCACATTTAGAAAACCTTTATGCATTTCACTTTCTCCTTTAACATACAATGAAATGCTCTGCATTTTTACAAATTACACAGGAACATTAACTAGACAAATAAAGGTCATCTAAAACAGCATATAAAGCATCAAGCTTAAGTGCAATTATGTTCCCCACAGTACAGAGCAGAGAACAAGGAGAGTCAACAAACTGCAGCGCATACATAATTGTGTGTAATTATACAAGCAATACATAATTTGTTCTAATTACATTGCATTGATATCAGACTCTATTGTATTCCAAATTTTGTACCAAAAAGATGTCAGCTAACTCCAGGTGTCTTTTAAAAGCCAGATCATTGTGCATTACTCACTCTGGAAAATAATGGTATTTACAGACATCATAATGTTCAAAGAATATTTTAAGAAGTCTTCCCAGACCTCATATTTGCTGGATTGCTGGAACTGTCACTCACATTACTGACAGTATTTCCCTTAGCCCCTAACCAGAAGATTGTTTCTAGATTGCATATATTCAGTCGCTAGTGGTGCTGAACCAGCCAAATTAAACTACACACCACGCTACTCCAGCTGCTGTATGAACAGTCAGTGAGCTCAGTGTCTGCCATGACCTCCACCAACTGGGATCCTGATATCTGGTGCAGTGGTATTTGTGAGTTTGGTGACTAATTAAAACCAGAAGCCTGTAAGGCTGTAAGAAGTAGTGGGCTACAATAGTGACCTGTGAGGGAGGACACCGTTAACTACCATGTGTAAGGCAAGATTACTTCCAGGCTGCCCTAAAGACAAATGAAACAACACTAGAAAACCTCACTGTGTGCCAAAACTTAATCGAATCAAAAAAGTACTTGAGCTTAAATATATTTAATGAAACATCTGGAACTGTTTACACTCCATGCCAGGTCAGGTCTGTTCCTGCGAGAAATCCAGCCTATGGCTGACACCATGCTGGAGCAGAAACCACTATGTTTATTTACTCAAACTCCTACATTGCCCCTCTATTCATCAGAGGAATTCTTCTGCACTCCATGTATCATTTAGTGAAAATAAGGGAATATGAGACTGGGAAAGGGGAAGATAGAAATGTTTCTCTAATTGTTTTGTCTTTTTTTTTTTTTTTTTTTTTTTCCAGTCAGTGCTCAAAGAATGGTCAAAGAGTGGCAGACAACTAACTACCTAACTGGCCATGCAGAGGTCCAAACTCTGTCCTCTGATCAAACAGGACAGTAGGGCACACCATGAGTAGTGGTGACACAAGACACTACACTGGTAACACTAGGGATGACAGCTTGTCTGGCTGTTGCAGAGAAACATCTTGGCATTATCACTATTACCATGATCAGAGTATGCAGTTATGGAGATCCAGAAGGCTGTGGCCACTGCACTCCAGATTTGGCAGTAAGTTTGAAGAAATACAGTAAAAATAGTCTAAACAGTGTTTTTAAATAATTCTTCCTGTTTGGGAATGGGACTTCACAATTTCTGGACTATCTGTCTATAAACGGTGCATTTTCCAGATAGATCTTCCCTGCTCAGGCAATGTGGGACTGCACCCTTGCTGGTGATGTCACCACCCCTTAACCCATGATGTAGTAACCCTTGACACCCAGCTCATCTTCCTCTGCAGAGCAGATCTGCTCTTGCTGCTCTCTGACATTGGGAATATGGATAACATCAGAGGCTTCTAAATGTTCTCCCAGCTGTGCTCATGCTGAGCATTAGTTACACATCCCCAGCAAGTGCCCTCCAACTCCTATCTCTGCTGATCAAGAGGAACACAAAGGACAGTGAGGGCTTGGCAGCAAGCATCCCTTGTACCTCCATGTCATGCAGAAGGGATCCTGCCCAGAGCACTTCACATAAAGGTTTTGGTGCTTCCAAGTATGTGGGTAACAAGGTAACTAGCAGAAAAAGTATGTAAAGCGTGAAAGACTTTGCATAATAAAATAATGCCCATTCACAGGATTACATATTGAATTTTCTTACACTACTTTTCTACAAAAAAAGTACATCCCCTTTCCCAATGCCTGATGTAACTTTATTCAGCTGAGGAACGCCCTGGCCCCAAGGTTGCTTGCCTTGGGCTGTGGGGAGGTGGAGCATGTCGTCCGCACCTAATTTTGCAGTGGGGCTATGGTGGGAGATCTGCCACATGCCAACGTGGCAAAAGCTTTAGATCTAACTGTGCCTCCTGAGTACTTCTTAATATATGTGGATACTCGAGAGACACTGTCCCACATGCTCAACAACTGCCCGGTCTGCATGAGGGTTATGTTTACTATAATCACGGCAGGGGACACACTAAGAAGGAGACACTTCATGTAGATTAGTTAGTGGTAAAACTCATCAGTATTATAAGAAGGCTGTTACAGAAAGTCTGTTTCAGAAGCCCGCTATTCTTTGGCATAGCTTAATAGTAAACCTTCCCCAGCTTTGAAATTAAGTTTCCTGATTTCTGTTTGTATCCCAGCTGCAATTTCTTTCCATGCCCTTGCGAGACCTTGCACCACAGTGTATGTGAACACCCACTGTCAGGAATACCTGAAGAGCAACTTCAGGAAAAATCAATACCTGCATTACCACCACATGTAATCTCTAGGTTATAATCAACCTAGTTTTACTAGCAAGTGTTAAATGAAACCTTAAGAACACTAACACTGCAATGGATAGTAAGAGCAACAACCAGATGGTACCAAAGTCACCCTCTCTATACCGAAGTCAGTAGCTGCATCAAGAGCTTTTGTCAGTGCTGTAAGACCAACCTACGGGCGCCAGAGGGCACGCCCTGCACTTACATTTCAGCTTGGGAAAATTAACTTCTAAGAGCCGTTAGGTCCCTTGTAAGGAAACGGGAATCAAAAGCTGGCTCCATGTAAACAGTGTTGTATTTCTCGTAAATGCATAACAGTGTCCGTCTTTTCTATGAGAAATGGAGGGTAAAAGACTGTAAGACATTCAGAAGCAAAAGCTGTTAAGACTTGAGCTTTGTCACTATATTTTACTACACTATCTTTGTATTTCACTATCTGCACCTACATTTCCCCCGCTCCTCCCCCCCCCCCCCCCCCCCCCCCCATGCTGCCCATACTCTTGATATAACTTTCTCCATAGGCAAAATGTGCAACAAGGGCAATGCTTTGATGTGGTGCTGGATAGACAAGTTGATGAAGAGGGTTGCTCTGCTTGATCTGCTGCTACACATGGATATGGAAAAACTGGTGGGTGAGGTGGTCAAAAGCAAAGTCCTGTAATAAGAATGAAATAAACCCACCCAAAAATACAGCCCAAGTGTTGGTTATGCAACAAAACAACTTCACAGAAAAGGGTTCTGGAGAGCAGGCAGACAAGCTGAAAACGAGTCAGTAGGATGCACTTGCAGAAAAGGCACCTAATCACATACTGGAATGCACTAGTAAAAGCCCAAATGCCCTTCTGTGAAGCACTCCTGGGGTCACCAATGGAATACCATATTTTATTTTCCTTCCCCCACTACTCAGTTTAAGAGGAAGATGAATGAAGGGGACCAAGTACAGCAAGGCACCAGTAAGGCAATTAAGGGGCTGAAGCACACAAGATGCAAGGAGCAAGTGAGAGGGCAGTGTCTGCTCAGCTTGAAGAGAAAAAAGACCCGGTGAGGGTCTAGATGATTTATACAACTACTGAATGGGGGTTAAAGAAAAAAATAGAACCAGTCTCATCTCAGAGGGCACAGTTAAAGGGATGAAACAGTCAGAAGCTGTAGGAAGGGATATTTTAAGTAGCTAGGGAAAATGGTTTCCCCACCCAAGAGTGGTCAAATATTGGAAGAGGTTTCCCAGACTGTGGAATCTCCATCCTGGGACAACACTCTCCTTTGAGCAGGGCACCCTGCTATATGATCTCTCCAACCAAAATCAGAGCCCCAAGCCCAAAGTGTTACCACAATCCTTCCTGTTAGCATATTGTATTACTGACTAACGTAGGTGCAATCTGAAAGGAGAGATTCAGTTGATGAATGCTCCCACCCTAGACGTTGCCAGTATGACAGATTCAGCTTCATTTAGCAGCTGCATTTTGTTTGTTTTATACAGGAGTGCAATTTTATTAAAGAAACATATATGGTCAAAAGTTGCATTAGCATAGAAGTAGTAGGCTGCCAATAACTGTGTATGTTTCCTTTTTTAAAAAATAGTAATTCAGAAAACTGTCCCCTCTCTCACATTTGAAGGTTGTTTTTTCAAATTTTATTATTTAAAGCAATTACCGAGATGCTTGCTGCAGTGTTACAGCATGAAGTCTTTCAATTTTAAGTCTCTCTTCGGCTTCCTTCCCAGGGGGAGGAGTTTTCCCTGCTTCCGATGACTTGTCTCCACAGCAACACACCTCCAGCAACCCGACTGCACCCAGCCCGCCGCTGCCTCGGGCCTGCAGGGGTTAAAAGCCGCCCCGATGAGCTGCAATGCCGGCAGACTCGAACGGTTTGTTAGGTGAAGTAAAGAATCCGCCCCCTCAGCTCACTTCGGGTTAAAAAATGGACAACTCCTTTGTGGAAGAAGTGGCCGCATCACTGGTGAGAGAATTTCTCAGTAGAAAGGTAACTTGTCTCGATTTTCTCCAGCTAGAACGAATGAGAGTGACACATGATAAAAGTTAAGTGCTGAAAGATTGAGGAATGCTGGGGGGGGTGGGGTGAGGGGGGAACGGGACTTCTTCCAGCCTAAAAGCAGCGAGACCTGAACCGGGTAAGTAGCTGCACTACATTTCCCACAAAGCCTTTTGATTGCTGCGTGTGGAATCCAGCTTCCTCCTTGTCTGAGAGAGCCCGATTCTTACCCACGCGCGCCTGCAAAACCCAAGACTAAATCAAGAAACGCCGTTTCATTTTTGTTTTGTTTTTGTTTGTATTTTGTTGTTGTTTGGTTGGTTTGCTTTTTGTTTGGGTGTTTTTCTTTTTTTTTTTTTTTTTTTTTTTCCCTCGTTAATTACCTATCTTGCTATTGTCCTTGTGTTTACAAGAAGCATACACAACTTCCAGGAAAATACTTTTTTTTTTTTTTTTTTTTTAAAAAAAAAAAGGCAAAAGGTAGCGGTGCTACAGGAACCGGTAATATGTATGTTTTTTTTTTTTTTTTTCCAGTTTTCAGTAATAACTTGGCAGACAGCAGATTTATCTGGAGGAAGGGGACGGAGGGGGAAAGAGGCCACTATACTTTAAACAAACTTAAAGCTGTAAAGGAAACTTTGTAGTGTACATAGGTGTGGGGGACTGAGCAGAAGAAAAGGCGCCTTCACATTTCCAGGTGAAAGTACCTACCACCTTGTACTTACGTTCAATTCTAAGGGAATATTGTTCATGTCCAGCCCAGTCAGTCCCCCTAAGTCAAGAATGAGTTAGATTGTATCAGAAATTAAGCAGGCACTGTTACTAAGTGCTACACAAACTTCCCTTTTCTTCATCTGTGTTGTATCCAGTCTCCAAACACACATTTTCAATGTTTGTGAACAAAGTTGAAACATTTGGCAACAAAATTTCAGATGCAGAATTCCTTACTTGCCATTTACTGCCAGAAGTATGAGAGGTTCAAGTCTGATTGCAAAGATTTTACAAGTGAAATACATTTACACTTCTGGGTTAGATATCTTTAAAAGTAAAACTGAATAAAAACATAAGGAAAGGGAATGATCTGCTGGTAAAACAGACCATACAGCTTACAATGGTAACTTATACTTGAACTGTCACATCTATTTCATACTATATATCCTGAGGCCAAAACCAAGGGGCACTGATAATCCCTTATGCTTCTGCCCAAGTGTTCCCCTGCTTCCCCCAGACCCTTAGCACACATCACAGCCAATTGTGATAATCATCCTTTATTTACAGCAACTCATCAATAGTTCCGTAAATCTGAGCCAGACAATCCATCTGCAGGAAAATTAATACTTTTGACAATAGCCCTTCAGAGAAGAACTCCGGTCTTTCTCTCTCAAAAAGATGGTCTGCTGTTGTACCCCTTGAATAAGTTCGGGATCTGACACTGACATTTCACAACTCTCTCCAAAAAAGCGAGATGCACATACACTTGTCTCTGAAGTGCCCCTGTATGCTGACTACAGATACAAAGTAGTCGACAAAGTCTGAAGACCCTAAACCAGCTGATGCTGTGGGGATCTGACTGATGTCCAACCCAAGACTGATCAGAATAATTCCAACTCATGATAAAAGCTGAAACTTGTTCTGAACCCACTGAGAGCCAGAGTACATCTGATGTTCAGGCTTCATAATTACCCACATCAGAATCACATTTATGAAAAGCTGTATCACATCCTGATGGAAAAAGCAAACACGGTGTTTCTGGAATTAGATATTGTCAGGGACATTCATACAAAGTAGTCAGTCTTACGAGGCTGTTTAGCAGCTGATGTCACCTGCATGGATGTCTTATTTTTTTCATGTTCAGTAATTTCCATCTCACAGACAACATAACCACTTTAATTATTTTCACATCTGTGGGCTGTAATAATGTGAGATTGTACCACTAAAGTACATGTTCTAAGGGGTAGCTTGTTACTAATTGCTGCCATTCAGAAGTTTCATAGTACATCCAACAAAGTCAAGAATAAAACCTTTGGTAAGTTGTACTGTCTCAAGTACTCTGAAATGTGACTTTTCCTTCTCAGGGTTTGAAGAAAACCATCACTACCATGGACCGAGAGCTTCCACGTTCTGCACTTAGCATCAATAACAGGAATGAACTTCGAAACATCCTACATCTGCACTGCTTGTACAAACAGAACAAGGTAAGGAAACAGGCCATGCTCCCCGAAACGTGGGATCAGATACCAGGAAACCAGGCCAACCACATCGAGGCTGTAGCCCATGTCCAAACTGCAGAGAGCTCAAGCTCGTGTCTGGTACTTCATTGCTGCCACCACACTGACAGTTCTCTGGGGAATGGAGAGCTTAACTTTGAGTGAGATTGAAGCTCCTGGGATGAAGCTGAGAACCCATTCAATCTGTGGCCTCCAGTAAACCAGGAGTAGTTACTCTCATACCTTTCCCATCATTATGGCTAGATTATTCAATTTTGGAAGTACTGTTACATGCCCATATCTATTTGCAACTTTATGTAAGACCTGGAAGATAAAATCACACTTCTAGCATTTTTTATTATTTGAAATGTAATATAGACAGCAATATTTGATGATAGGGACATCAGTGGAAAATTTCCATTTCCATTTTACTCATGACTTAAGGCACCATGATGCTTTTGGTAAGCAGAATGAAGCTTTCCTGTAATAAGCCACTTCAAAAAAAAAAGCCCAAGATTTCTGTAGTGTTTTTTTTTTTGTTTTGTTTTTTTTTTTTTTTTTTTTTTTGTTGTTGTTTTTTTTTTTTTTTTTTTTTTTTTATGAAATGATCATGTACACAGGACACATTTTCCAGACGTCTGTTGAAAAACAGTGTAACAAGTGGGACAACCCTGTACTTACGAGTTATCCCAAGCACATGAAGAGAATTCTAGAGTCCACGCTTCTCAAAAAGTTCTGATAAAATAAACCACAAATACTGAAGTCAGGTACTAAAAATACTTGCAGTTCATTCTGCATTCTTCTGAAGTTGATCAGGTAACATTAGAAAAGGTGTATTCTAGCATAGTTACCATACTTCGCAATGTTCATCTGAAATGAGAATAAGGAATGACTGAAACAGGTTGTTTCTTGCATCAAAGTTTACTTAATTTAGCACACCAACAGCTTTGAGCTCTCGACTTTCCCTACTGATATTTTTGACCTTCCAGTATTGTTTATAGTCACATCTATGGTAAACCCACAAGCAGCTCTCTCTAGAAAGCAGTTAACATGTTCAGATATATGCACAGTAGAAAAATACCCTATCTTAGGCTGCAGCCAGACTTAACAGAGTTTCAATCGTCACCAAGAACTTTGTTCTTCTTTTTGGATAGGCAAAGGAGAACCCACTGAAAACACTTCTTGAAATTATTACTAATTACTTCCTTGAACACTGTGGGACTTTCAGAAGCATCAGTTCAAGTTCTGCTCTGTCAGCTCCTCAAAGTAAGAGCTCACCATCTCATCCACCTGACTTCTTGGATGAAGATCACGTGCATGGGAGTGCCATTATGCCCGATGAGAGCAAAACTCAGGTCTACAGGTACAGTCCTACCTCTCCATCTTTGCCCTGTCTAGTCACTACTTTTTAATTATTAAGGGAAAGTGTTAAAAGTTGTATTATTTATACCTTCAGTTACAGTACCTTTTATTAGTTATCCTAGTAATATAAAACTTTAATTTCTAGATTATTAAAATGTCCTATGTAAGCCACTCTTCAAAAATGCTTTTATGTTCCCTACCAATTACAAATATTGATAATCTCAGTTACATCTTTCAGTCACTGAAGCACATATAAATCTCAGATTTTACGCCTTGTAAATTTGAAATGTTCAAATTGAAGCATGTTCTGAGAAACTAAGCACCTGCACTCAAACTACAGGTATTCATGCCTTACATAGTCAAAGGCAAAGCCTACTATCTTAAATTCAGTATTGTTACAATCAGTGTAGGTTATTTCCATCTTGCAAATTACCTCAAAACAGCATGTCATGAAGACTTTCAATTGCATTTATTGGTGCCTCAAGGTGGAGTAACAGCTCTAACTGTTCTTCAGTAAAAATCTTTTAAAATGGCTACAAAAAAGTAATTTACCTTCCCAGCTTTGACTTTCAGGGAATCAATCTAATTTTGCTCCTCATCCTAAATACAGTATGCTCAAAGTAGCAAAGTTTGAGCACCAATGTTTGCAAAATCCCAATAAGTCCCTCTTTATAGGGGAAGAAAGCCAAGATTTTTAAAGCCGATACTACCATCTGAGAAGCAATGCTTGAAAAGGAGGCAGTGCAAAAAAAAAAAAAAAAAAAAAAAAAAAAAAAGTAGCTGCTTTTGCTTTGCAGATACAGCACGCTGCCAGTGATGTCTCTCCATCTGATATTACCGCACCTGCCTCATTTTTTCCCCTTCCTGTACACACTGGAAGTTGTTCCATTCCCCCTAAAAACCTCTCCGGGGCCTGCAGAGCTTTCTTACTACACCAACACCCCTTCTCCTACAGAGAAATGCACTAACACTTTCCCCCGAGACCGAACAGCAACACCCAGCACGGTTACGTAGCCACCTCTCTCCTACTACAATCCTGCAACAAAATGGCGGCCGCCCATTTCAAAGGCAGCGCCAACCCGTTGTGCGCATGCGTGCTGGCAGCCCCGTGCAGCCCTCCCCCGCTCGCCGCGGAAAAACCACAAAGCGATGGTTCGGCCGCTGGCCCAGAGTGGCAGTTATTTCGCCGGAAGTGGTGCCTTATGGGGCCGCTCTGCTTGGCACTGATGGGCTCTCTATGGTTTTGATCCTCCAAGGGCGGGAAAGACATGCGCAGTGTGGTGGTTGAGTTGAACATCCCCCCCCCCGCCGCAACACCTTTCTCACACGTACAGCTGCATACATGTACACGCTCCTTATACACACAGGCGTGAAGACAGAAATGCAAAGAGGCAAAGTGAAGCCCCACATGGAGAAGCAACATGTGTCGGTGTCAGGAGAGTGTGGGACATGGTGCCCTACTGTGGGGCAGGGCCCCTCGCCGGCATGGCGTGCGCACCTTCCCTCAAGGGGTGAAGGATTCCTCTTCACTGCCCCAGCCAGTTGGGCAGGGGGAGATCAAAAAATGGCAGATTGAAGGAAAATTGGAAAGCAAACCCCAGAAATGCCCAACCTTTTGTGTGTATGAGCTTGGAAATGTTACCCAGCTGCATACTGAAAGCTGACAGCTCTGTAGAGGGCAGAATCCTGTATTGATTTGCAGGCTTCCATTTAAACCCCGTGTGATTTTTGTACTCATTTTTATGCCTTTTTATGAACCAAATGCACCAGGTATTCCTTCCTGAGGTGGGGGAGCCCAAAGTTGTCTGGAGGTGCAAGGAAGGAAAAATGGTCTGAGTGGGCGTGACAGAGGAATGTGTGTTTTGGGTCCTCTCCTGATAGAAAGCAGTGTTTGTAACTGATTTTTCTTTCTAAACCAGCTGAGAATCTCACCCTCAGAGACAGACAAGTGGCTTCATTTTTCCCTTGGATCAGGTCTTGTCCCAGCTGTGCAGTTCAGCTGCATTTCTGTGCCACGGCTGGAGGGAGAGGCTGCAAAGCTGCCCTAGCAAGGACTATGCAGGTTGATGGGTTGGCTCAAACACATCCTATTTCAGACCACAAAATGAACTGATGAGAGAAATACTATGGCAAAGCACAGGTCTGTGATCCTCCTAGCCATTACCATCCCCTGCAGCCAAGGAAAAAACAGATATTACCAGGTCAACCAGCCAGTGCCTGAAATTAGTTTTAATTTCAACTACCCGGATAATTTTTAACAATGGTTTCAGGAGTGGAGAGTATAATTAGACAGATACTCTTCACTGGTTCCTTACTAAAGAGTCTTCTTTCGAACTTACTTTCTTTAAGTTTTTGTTTGTTTGTTTGTTTTGTCTTGTTTTGTTTTGTTTCTTAACCTATCTGTAACTGTTAACCAGTCTCTAAGCTGACACATTGTGCCCTTTGGCAATGAGGGGTTACATGGTCCTAGGTCAGGAGTAACACTCCTCAGATTTCCTAGTGCTTTCAGAGACTTATCATGCTCCCTTCCATTTACGTATGAAGCATGTCTTCACAACACATGACATACTACTTCAGAAACCAATTTTAACTCGCCAAATGCTAGAGGGATGATTTTGTGGCACAAAATGCTTCAACTCATTCAATTTTTTTACTCTGAAATAGGATGGAGAAAAACATCCTAAAGTGGGAAACAAATTCAAGGACATTTATTGTGAAAAGGGCTAGCATTTTCAGTTTACACAGAATATAAATTTCTCGACAGGAGCAAAAGAGATCTCAGCTACTCAATAAAAGTGCTTCTATTTAACAGTTATCTAATGTTATGCAGACAGTGAAACAGATCCTGATAAAGAAAATAAAACTTGTCATTGGACTTGAAGAAGGAAGAGCAGGAACACCTGGATGGGCTGGAAGAGTGGACTAACGAGAACCTTAAAAGTTCAACAAGGACAATTGTAAGGTCTTGCACCTGGGAAAACATAATGCAGGAGTGTAGCACAGACTGGGATCTACCCAGCTGGGGAGCAGCTCTGTGGAAAGGGCCCTGGGGGTCCTGGTGAGCAACAAGCTCAATAGGAATGAGCAGTGTGCTGCTGTAGCAAAGAAAGCCAACGGGATGCTGGGCTACATCAAGAAAGACATCACCAGCAGAGATAAAGAACTCATTGTCCCACTCTACTCATGCTTGTCAGGCCACACCTGGAATACAGTGCTCAGTTTTAGTCCCCACTATATAAAAAAGATATGGACAGGCTGGAGAGGGTCCAGAGGACGACCATGAAGATGATCAAAAGACTAGGAAGCCTGGGATGTGAGGAGGGCTGAGAGAAGTGGGCTTGTTCAGCCTTCAGAAGAGAAGGCTTAGGGGAGATCTTATCCCCATGTTCCAGTATCTAAAGATGGAAACTCCCTTTTTATAGGGAGTCACTTGGAAAAGATGAGGGGTAATGGCTACAAGTTACTGCTGGGGACATTCTGGTTGGACATGAGAGAAAAATTTTTCACAGTGAGAACAATCAGATACTGGAATAATCTCCCCAGGGAAGTGGTGGATTCCCCAACATTGGACCCTTCTAATATTTGGCTAGACAGCTTGCTGGACCATCTTGCCTAGACCGTGCTTTTGCCAAGAAAGGTTGGGCCAGATGATTCCCGAGGTCCTTTCCAACCTGGTATTCTATGATTCTGTGATTTTATGATTTCTTACAGGCTCAAATTATGACTTTTTTTTTTTTCTTTTTTAAAGAAAGAACATGATTTGTTAACAGATATTTTTAAGAAAGAAATGCATATAATGTTTTACAAAGACTGATAGATCCAGGTGAATCTCACTTGCGTTTCAGAAAAAACTTGTTTATACTATTATATATGTATAGGAAAATGCAAACACTGAACTACACTTTGTGTTGCTACCTGGAGGACCAGGCTGAAGAATATGGAAGAGGTCACATGACAGCAGTGTCTATTATCAAGTAAAAGCTCGAATACGAAAGTACCTCTTTTTGAACTAAAGTATTCTACATTTGAGCAAAGAGTGAAAGGAGTCCGTAGCGTGAATCTAAGGTATAAGATGACAGAGGATGTTAGCAAAAGTGTTAACAAATTTTCAAACTACCAAGCAAGCAGATGGAGAAGGAATGGGAACTGCTGGTGGTAGCATAGGACGTGTCGGGTATAATATATGTAGTCTGCTTTCTGTTATGTTATAGTACATATCAAAATAAGTAGCATAAGTTTAAAGTAAAGTGTTACACATATTATAACCAATTGTGACACATAATAATACTAAAATAATGTCCTGAAGATCTACATATAGATACTTAAGTGAAAAGGAATTGTATTTGAGTACCATTGCTAGATAATAAGTAACTTAATTTGACAGCAGTGCTTTAATTAGCCAAGCAGATGTTTTCACTTATTTCACTGTGCAGTTTTGCCTTTTTCTTCCTTGTAGATATAACGTTGAGAATCCACTAGATAAAATCCTTCCATCCAGAAAACATCAGCACAAAAATGAAAAATGCCACACAGGGACAATTCACAACAGCCACTTACCCTCTGATGGAGATAAGAAGTTAAAAGATAGTCAAGAAGATTTAAAAGCAGCAACGATTTCTGAGGAGCTGAAATCCACAGCGAAGGAGAAGCCAAGGCCCAGGTCTGGTCTCTTTGTGAGAGGAATGATGGCTGGACCAGTAGCAAGTTTGCCAGAGGTGATTTCCAATACTTACAAAATATTTGGCTTGGCCGTGGATTTTATATTTAACCTTCTGTGATAAAGTCATTTACAAATAATAGTGAAATTAATTCTGCGTGCTAATCCATTAAATCTGCAATCTGAAAATATGTGTTGAATCAGGGAAGTGGTTCTGGTTAATTCAGAAATTAAAACTGTTTCAGATGTAACCACTACATGCAACTACCCCCTACATGTCTGTGATCTTAGGTTACAGAATTTCTTTATAAATCTTTTCCATTCTTGATATCTCTTGACAGATGCGATTTTCCATTTTCCTAGGAAAATTGCCTTTTTACCTTGTCAGAATCTACAGCTTGCAAAGTTTTCTTGGCCATGGGTATCTGTTTTACTCAGGTTTTTCTGAAACCTCACATTTAATCAGCAGCGGTTTGGAATTGAAAATTGCTTTCAGTTAGAAATGTGAATTTGTCCAATCAGACCGTATTCCATTAGCAAGTATTTTCAAAACATAGTTCTAAAATTCTGACCTCTTTTTCTTTCCTTCATGGTGCTTTTATGTAGACAGGAACTTTACCTGTGTAAAATTAGTCTTGTAATAATGAGAAATTTAAATATATTAAGCTTATCATTTAGATAATTCTGAAATTATTATGGACGTTAAATGAATTAATTTTTCTAAATATCTCTGATTTGGAACTAAAAACTAGATACCTGTGGTAGACAGACTTTCCAGTAAAATGTCTTATTTGTCTTGGTTTCCTGAGTTGTGTACAACCCCAATATTAAGGTTTTAGGAGGTATTTTGTTGATGTTCTTGAGTGAAAGGAAGCAGTTTTCAGTAGCATATAACATCCATAATGCTGTTCAAATTTTAAGTAAAAGTGTATGTCTACCTTATTTATCACCATTTTTTTTAAAAATCTGATTTAGTATATAACCTGATGGCTAATAATAAATTGCTTAGGCCAGAAACTAGTGATAGAGCTTTCTTTTGCTTTTCATGTTTATTTAAAGATGCTCAGGTTTTAATCTATGGTTTTAATGGCGCTTATTTCCAGGATCCACAAAAAAGGAGGCTTTCAAAACGATCCACTAGCATAAGCAGCACAGCACAGCTCAAGGGTGAAGAACATGAAGAAAATTACCTAAGTGTCCCAAGTACTGATTTTCAAGAAAGCAAAGGATCTGCAACACAATTAAATATGGAGTTTGCATCAAAGACTATGTCAAGCTCACACACAAGTTCAGACTCTGAAAAACTAAGAAACATCCCCAAAGATACAGATGACTCTCTTGCCAAACTTCTGTCAGAAAGAGAGAGGTCCAAGACAGAAGAAAGAAAATCAGTTTTAAGCTTTGGTATAGACAGCAATGAAAAAAGCCTTAAAGTGAGTGCCCCTCACAGACATTCAGGGGCCATAAGAGAGAAGAGTGAAAGATCCCTCAAGAAAAATGAGACTCAGCTGTCAGGCCACAGGTAAGAATACTTGTAAGAATATGATACTAAAACATTGAAGAAATCTGATGGAGGACTAAGAGTGACTGAGATACTCCTGGTTTCATTGAGGGGAAGTAGCTGGAAGAGGTGAAGATACTGAAAGGCAGAGAATTTTTAACTTAAAAACTTTTGACATCTCAAAACACTCAAGCATCCTTTATTGGTCAGTGGAGAGACCCTAGAGGTGCTGGTTTCTCTCTACTGCTTCAAAAGAGAGCTACTTACTAGTTCACACTTAGACCACTTAGGCATTAAAGCCGTACAGGTGACTCCCACCTGTGGAGGTCTACAGTGTTTCACAAAGACATTGCTCACTCCTTAGGAAATGGTGTAGCTTACCTCTAACTATTGCAGTAGTACATGCAGAAAACCTTACAGGATAAAATGAAGCAATACCAACCAAGTGCATACATATGTCCACAGGGTTCAGTGCAGTGCTGTGCTGAGATATCCAAGCCCTGCCCAAACAGGCTGGTTTAGCTACCAGCACAGTGCTGTTCACGTAAAGACAGTGTGGTGTGCCTTTGAAGCAGGATAGCCTGTGTCATTGCAATATTTAGACTAAGCCAATTAGTGGCCCCACTCACTATTATGCTGCAGCCACACAGCTCCTGCTTCTCAAAGTATTTTACTCAAAAGTTAGCCCAGATTTTTTTTTCTTATTAGGCTGCATTGCTTCACATTGATATAAAAGTTTTAGAAGAGCCTCCCGTTAGCTCCAGATACACATTTTTTGCTTTTTTCTGTCTTATACTCTCAACTGATCTTTTTTTTGATGTTATGTTTTGGGATTTTTGTTTTTGTTTTTGTTTTTTTTTTACTGCCACATCTCAGAGCTGGCTTCATAGTAGAGCTGTGGCTTGGGTTGGGTTTTGAAATGCTTCTGGTTGAGTCATCCATCAGAGTTTAACCAGTCTGGAATTCTGAACCGCTGAGTATGCTCTAGGTTAAAGCAGTTCAGGGCAACTGTACCCTGTCCGTGAATACATAAAATCTGAGTAATAAAAACTGCTGCCTCATTATCTAGCACTTCTCAATAGCAGCTCTCCAACAACTTTAAGCAGGGAGTGAGTATCACTCTGCCCATACTACAGATGGGAAAACTGAAGCAGGTAGAGAGAAACCTGCATGCTACTGGTCACACATCCTGTCAATAGTAAAGTCATTCATAGGGCTCAGGCACCCCGAGTGTTGGTCTTGGGGTGCACTCCCAGTGCTAGAGGTGAGTGTGCATTATAACTGGTAGAAATATTTTTGAGTTTCTATCAGTTGCTGCTTCATAAAATGAGGCACATACTGTTATCCCCTTCTGTGGGCCATAAAGTAGTATTTCTGTTCTACTAAATTTAAAAGCAGCCAGGTTTGTTGCTTTTTTTTTTTTTTTTTTTAAGTGCCTAAAAACCTCATTAATATGCTAAAACTGCAACCACACATTTTTAAAAATATTATTACTATTTTGTTTTCCTATTTAATTTCTTATAAATCTTGAGACACAGTATGTTGAGGCCCTGTTGAGATCATGAGGAAGCAATGATATATTTGTTCTCTCCACGTTTATGTTAGGGGCTGTGAGAGTTAACAAACTGGGGATCTATTGGAGCTGCAGATGGGTCAGGAGTGGCACTTGCTTCCCATCTGGAACCAAAAAGCAACTGAAAATAACTGCAATCATTACACAGTTACTTTACAGTGTTAGCTGACTTCATTTGTAAAAGATTACTGAATGACAGGCCAAAGTACTACTCTCTTAAATTTTAAAATCCACAAGAGGTCAGTTTTCCATTATGTACTGTACTGGAAAAGTGAGCTATGTCAGATAACAGCTGGACCCAGGCAATTCAAGTCCAACTGTTGCTGAACTGGCACGAGTGACTGCAGATCCACCTTTGATACTCTGCTTTCAGAAGGATCTATTAAGTCTTGCATGATTCCGTGTGAATGCAGAGAGCCAGTTCATAAGTCACTGTGGAAGAAGCAATGGGGTCTGACTCCATACAACTCCTGTTTTGTATAGCTTGACAGAACCACAACTTCATAATTTTCCAGTTTCAGGATGGTTTATTACTTCACGCTCAGCATTAATTGAGGTAGAGAATATAGCTTCAGTGGGATTTTGACAGGTTCCCAACAAAGCTGAGAACAGTAAGTATATTCCTGATATTAATAATAGTACTGCGGTACTGTGCTCCATTGCTGTAGTAAGCAGTTTGAAATAGTTTCCATCAAAGGGCTGGTTTGGTTTCAGCAAGAACAGAAGAGGGAGCTATTTCCTAAGCGGAGTCCATGTATTCTGTTTCCAAAGCAAAACGGGGACATTGCTGCCACAGAATTTGAGTTAAAGCCAGTAGAGCATATGAATTCATGCTGAGCTCTGAGCTCCTGAAAACTCTCACTGAAATCAGCAGGACTGCTGATATTCCTGAAGTTAAGTGGAAGTAACAGAGAGTGGAAGTAAGACTCCAAATAAACATCAACCATTACAATATAAGGCCTGGCTATTGCAAGACTTTTATATCCCTTTGGCAAAATCCTGCAGCACTTGAGAACCTTTCAGGATTTGGCCAGAGTGCTTGACCATTTTCAGGCATGAAAAATTGCAATGGAGAAGTGGATATTTGTCTGGATCATCTTCCATTCTCTGTTACTGCTACCTGATGCCTCTGACAAATGCTAATCTAAGTATTTAGATGAGCAGCTGAAAATCTATAAAGAACTGAACACAGATAGTTCATTCCTAGGCATCTGCAATTCTGTTTTTGTTTCCCATATGAGATTAAAGTCATAAAAGTCTTATTCATCTTTCTATTTGCTGTACTTTTTCATTCCCTTTTCTCACATGCAAAAAAATGCTATTGTTGCATACAGGCTGCAGGCAGCCATTGTCTACATATGAGAATAAAAATGAAATGAAACCACTGCCATGCTTCAAAAGACAAGCTGAATGTTATCAAATAAATGCTTACAAACTGAGTGGGCAGAAATACCTAGCTACAAAAGTATCCTGGGGAAATACAGATCCACAGTATTTTGACTTAAATGTTTTAATGAAAGACATGATCGTGCTTTTTTTTTCACTGACTTTCTTATTCTTAGCTATTGCATGAAGTGTATGCAGTGGAGTAACTGTGTCAAGAGGCCAGATTTGTGATTTGACATTTCAATCTTACAGTAACAACATGAAATTAGACTTCTGAGTACCATATTTCACATAGAAGTTTGTTCTCATTAAGAACTGGAGGTTCTGTCTTTGTTCAAATAGATAGTATTTTGCTGTCTGACAGTGAGGAGGCCTTTGGATTTCCGTGATGACCCAAATTAAAAGCTTACTTGAAGAGGTCTGTGTAGTTCAAGAGTGAGAGCTAAGTTTTCCAAAATGACAGACCAACACTCCCACTACAAATAGGAAAAAAAAAAAAAAAAAAAAAAAGCAGCAAATTAATTTATTTACATTGCTATTGCTGCAATTCATTGTTTCTTTTTAGGAAAATGGAATCAAGTTAGTGAATCAATCAAATGGAGACTAATGATTCAGATGTAGTCTTTCCTTGTTTGTTGAACTGCTACTGCTGAGAGCATCAACTTTCAAATTCAGGTAACTCTAGTGATGGTTTAAAAGGCCAGTGCTTAACTGCAGTTATTACTTAACTGCTCATAACTATAATGAAATAGAAAACCGCTTGTTATTTTTTCAGTATACCCCATACATAATGTTGATCCCCTTGCAGACATATTATCATTAGAATCATTAGAATGATAGAACAGAATCACAGAATGGTTTGGGCTGGAGGGGGCCTTAAAAATCATCTAGCTCCAACCCCCTTGCCATGGGCAGGGAGACCTTCCCCCAGCCCAAGGTGCTCCCAGCCCCATCCAACCTGGCCTTGAACCCTTCCAGGGAGGGGGCAGCCACAGCTTCTCTGGGCACCCTGTGCCAGCGCCTCACCCCCTGCACAGGGAATTTCTTCCTTATACCTAGTTTAAATCTACTTTCTTTCAATTGAAAACCATTACCCCTGAAAAGTCTCTCCCCACCTTTCCTGTCCCCCCTTTAAGCACTGTGAGGCTGCTCTAAGGTCTCCCCGGAGCCTTCTCTTCTCCAGGCTGAACAATCCCAACTCTCAGCCTGTCCTCATAGGGGAGGTGCTCCCCCATGATATCTGAATTCTTCCCCAGAAAAATAATAATACTGATCACAAAGAATCAGAAGAAAAGGATTCTTTTCTTCCTTGTATTACAGAGGGAACAGAAATTTTTGTTCTCTTGGGTCAATGATAGCTCTCTATGTCATGACTGTATTATTTTCCGTGTCTCTAGAAGTTATTCCATAAAGAAAGTATTATATGTTGTAGCGTTTGCATACCTACTCAGATGTATTTGTGAATGCAACTCATATGCCTTTTTTTTTATTTTAGAATTCCTTTGTTTTTTATTAATCCAGGAATAAAAGCAATATATAGGTAGCATCAAATCTTCATGTATCCTCATCTGTAAACAAATATCAGCTAATTTACTTTATCGATTCCTAGAATCGTAGAGTACCAGGTTGGAAAGGACCTCGGGAATCATCTGGCCCAACCTTTCTTGGCAAAAGCACGGTCTAGGCAAGATGGTCCAGCAAGCTGTCTAGCCAAATATTAGAAGGGTCCAATGTTGGGGAATCCACCACTTCCCTGGGGAGATTATTGCAGTAACTGATTCTTCTCACTGTGAAAAATTTTTCTCTTGTGTCCAGTCAGAATGTCCCCAGCAATAACTTGTACCTATCACCCCTCATCTTTTCCAAGTGACTCCTTGTAAAAAGGGAGTCTCCATCTTCTTTGTAGCCAATCTTCCTCCTTCATAGCAATTTTATTTAACAAATTAAAAATGACATTCATGTCTCAGCGCTACTTCAGTGGAGAATTTGAAACTCCACTATCCTTTCAGGTCATTCTGATGCTGTTGTTTATAGTTCATTCTCAAAAGAGTATTTCTCACTC